TCTAGACCGGGGCAGTTCAATCCGATGGGAACAGGGTCGTCGAGAGGGTGGACAAGGAGTCGGCTAGTGACAAACAGATGCAAAGGAGCTTGATGAAAGTCTGAGTGTAATTTTGCAGCTGCAGAGCTCAGATTATAAAATACAAAGTTACATAATTACATCAATAAGCCATTATTTTGTGGTTTAATCATTTTTCTTAAGAGTTCTGATTCCAGAGACAAAAGTGAAACACAGGTGAACAATACATTGTCAAACATTAACTGGCACTAAACAGAAAGTTTCTGTTTTTCATCTTGGTGAGTCACATTAGAGACCTTTATGTTTTGTGGTTACCCGATGAGCTGACCTCAAACCACTATTGTACTTTCAATACTAGCTCTGTAATTATTAATGTTTCTATTTGAATTCCAGGTGGTTCACAACAATGTTGCTATATATCTGTCTTTTATTTTTCCTTATTCATTAATATGTTCCAAACCCCAAGTTACATCAATATCCTATTCTAATCCTGTAGCTCTCATGAAATCCTTCCAAGTATGGGACTTATAAACATAACTATTTCATCTTAATAAAGGTGGTGATAGCGGTGCCAAGAACATCAGGTACTTTCCGGGCCTTCAAAAAGCCCAAAGATACAGTGACAGTTAGAAAAATAATAACAAGTAAAAGCATACCAAGTACACTGCATGTTTCTCAGAACAACCAATTCCAAGAGACAACCTTCCTTGAAGTTCCAGCCTCAACCAACGGAGGATCTCACGCGGGCTCCATTGGAGATGGCGTGACACCCAGCACCCACATGGTGGCTGACAACCATTGGAACTCCATTTCTGATGCCTTCCTCTGACCTCCAAGGACATTGCACTCCACGGGTCCACTCACATACATGCAGGCAATACACTCATACACATAAAATAAACAAATAATAAATAAAATATTTTAAAATAATAAAAAAGAACTATCCAGAGATGCTGTTAGTTTATGCTCTGATCAAATGCAGTGATTTTCCAGCACAGAATTTAACACATGTATCCTTTTTTCCTTGGAAGTCAGTAGCTGTGGGATCCTTTGAGAGAAGGCATTCTCTAATACCTTAAAAACATAAAACAGCAGGAGAGATTGGCATATAAATAATCATGGCCATACATGCTGACCAGATTTATGAGTAAAGTAGATGCAGGGAACTGAGGGGACTTGGCATGCAGAAGGCGTGGTTGACTTATCCCAGTTATAAGAAAATATCTCCCATGAGGTTCTGTCAGTTAAGACTTATACTAAAGCATCTTGCCCTACTCTATTATAAAACACATCATTGGGTAAATTTCTATCACTAAATTTATCTTACTGTTGTGACAACAAAACACATAATATTATACCATCAGCCAGTTCCTCGCAGACACAAAAGTGTAAACTCAAATATCAGCATCTAAGTTAACCTACCAGGGGCATTTCCCTTAACCGAAACAAACCCATCAACAGCCCAATAATTGAAAGAATTTATTGCCTCCAAACTGGCTTTAGTATTTTTTGATATGGTAAACCCACGCTAGAGTAGAGTGCTAACTGTGCATATGCATCAAATCTTGGCCTACAGATTATTGCACTAGCTTCCAACTCCTTATCAGATGCCTGTTTCTACTAAGGTCTATAAAAATGGTGCGTCTGTCTCCATTCTTAACGTTCCCTTGCTGCAGCCTCATGGAGCATGAATAACTTAATGGTGCCTACCATGCATGTCTCTCATTATAGGATGCCAATTACATCTCTGGAAACATCACATTAAGACCTCTCTTAAACCTAAACTGGCATTTACAACTTCAGAAGAAAGTTACTTCACCATACCATGAATCGCATGCCCATTCTCAAAGTTTCTATTTAAAGCGTTTCCACTTAAAAGTCAAAGCTTTTGTTAAGATTTATTGGAAAGGCTTAATAACAAAAATTATCTTCACTTATTAGCTTATTCACTATTATATATTTGTTGGGGGACTGGAGAGATGGCTCAGTGGTTAAGAGCACTGGCTACTCTTGCAGAGAACCAGGTTTCAAGTCCCGGCACCCACATGTTGGCTAACAACCATCTGTAGCTCTAGTTCCAGGGAATTCAACGGCCTGTTCTGTGGGTATTGTACAACATAGGTGTATTTATGCACTTGCAGGCAATACATGCATACACATAAAATAAAAATTATAAAGAAAAACATTTTTTAAATATTTGTGTTGGATAGTATCAGTTGTCAAGCTGACACAGCAGAGAAGAGAAAACATGAATTGAATGGAATTTCCTCTACCAGATTGCCATGCCTGTGAGGCATGTTCTTGACTAGTGAGTGATGTGGGAAGGACTAGCCCACTGTGGGTGGTGCCACCCCTGGGCAGGTGATCCTGGGTTATATAAGAAAGCAGACTAAGCACAGGCCAGAGGAGAAAGCCAGTAAGCAATGTTCCTTCATGGTCTCTCTCCAGCTTCTGGCTCCAAGTTCCTACCTTGAGTTCCTAAGCTGGCTTCTATCAATGATGGACTGTGATCAGGACTTATAAACCAAATATACCCTTTCCTCTTCAAATTGGTTTTGGTCAGTCAGTGATTTGTCACAGCAATAGAAATCTTACTAGAGCAATATGTACTTTAAATACACTAATGTAACTTTACTTTTATTTCCCTGTAGAATGCAGAATTCAAAGCTTTGTCAACCACTCTAACGGAAATCCAAGAGGAGATTGTAAATAAACACAATGAATTGAGAAAATCAGTATCTCCAAAGGCCAGTGACATGCTAAAGATGGTAAGTGGTCACAAAAGGACAGAGTCTTCAGAGAGCTGTGTTCGGTGCCTGCAGCTGGCATCTTGTAACTGTGGCTTAGGAAGGTCTGTTCTGTTTTGCCATTTCTTGAGCTGTGTCATGATCAGAGAAGAATTTATCATTTTCCTTTTGTAACAGTGAAATGATTCATCAGAGTTATACAGCTATATTGTTATTCCTCTCTCCTAATCTAGGTCAGAAGAATACTCCTTTAAAGTCCATGAACTTTAATCTAAATGATCTACTCTTCCGGTCACATCACCAAAGTCCATACGTTTTTAAAATTTATTCAGTGAGGAAAAAAACGAAACTAGGATTTAGAAGGCAGTTGGTGACTATTGGAAAATAGTATGAATGCTTGCACATACTTAGCAATACTTACAGTTAAACAATAATTAAATGTCTTTGAGTTCCTGCCATGTTTTCATAAATAATCAGACCATTAACTATTGTAGTATTTTCATTGACGTGGGGAAGACAGACTACTTGTGTTTGTTTCTTTATAACAAAAAAAGGGCATAGATGTGTGAGAGGGAGGGTGAATATAGCCTATGAAATTGGCAAGAAGGACATGTGAGGGGAGAAAGAGCACCTTTTCATATAATGTGGTCTATTAGACTCAGTGTGTAAAATGATAGTCGTTTATTGATGAATGGAAGGGATGAGCAACAAGACACATGTGACAAGAAAGTGGAAAGGCAGTGTCTTAGTCTGTTTCTCCGTTGCTGTGACAAAACACTCTGACCACTACCAACTTGGGGAGGAAAGGGTTTATTTGTCCTACATCTCCCAGGTCACAGTTCATCAGGGAGCCAAGGTAGGAACTCTGGGCAGGAACCTGGATTGCCCAGGGGTAGCACCACCCACAGTGGGCTGGGCCCTCCCACATCACTCAACAATCAAGAAGGTGCCCCATGGACCAGTCCAATGAAGGCAACTCCCCAACTGAGGCTCCCTCAGCCCAGGTGTGTCAAGTTGACACTAAAGCTATCCAGCACAGGCGGCGATAGTGAGTTGGGTGGGAAAGTAGAAGGAGGGTCAGGGAGATGAAGGAGAAGAAAAACCAAAACTAAATTTTGTTTTAAAATGCATTCATGAAGCAAGACTATAAATGCTCATTTAAAAATTATACACACTTGGGGCAAGAAAGATGGCTCAGAGGTTAAGAGCACTGATTGCTCTTGCAGAGGACCAGGGTTTGAATCCGAGGACCCACATGGCAGCTCATGACTGTCCGTAACTCCAGTCCCAAGGAATCTGATTCCCTTTTCTGGTCTCTGTGGGCACTGCATGACACAGGTGCACTTGCATGCAGGCAATTCACTCACACACATAAAAATAAAAATAATAAAAAGTTGGAAAAAAAAGCTTAAAAAGTGTACATACTGTTGATTATGGTAATAATCAAAAGGTACCTAAAGAAAATTTTAACAATATAAGCATGCCTATCAACCTGGTTATAAAGATCATGTGACTTTGAGGTTTAAGTTGTTATGTGATTGTCTTCTTTCTTTTTCTTCTTTAGAAATGGAGCAGTGAGGCCGCAGTGAATGCCCAAAAGTGGGCAAACCAGTGCAATTACAAACACAGCGATCAAGAGTTCAGGAGACTCAGTACGTAAAACGATAATCATTTATTGGATGAATGGACAAGTAACACAATAAAAGCCCATTTAATAAAGCTGTGCTAACAAGCTGTGCATCATCTCTTTCTCTGCTTTAAAGATTTGAAAATGAATGTCTGGAAGAATATAGTTGACAATTAGTATCATATATAGGAAATCTGAAATTAGAATTTCTATCATCTAACCCAGTACCTTTTCAGATGATATGGTCTATTAGTGTTTTCCAAACTAGTTAATTGGTGAAAATATATTTAATTTGGTCAACTAGTTCTCAACTTTTTCTTAAAAATACTGAACATTATAAATTACATTTGCTGTTTCCTTTATTATTTTTTTAGTTATGTGAGGGTAGGATTTTATCTCACCATGCTGTCTTCAAATGTGTCATCTTCCAATCTCAGCTTCCTGAGGGCTGGGACTATAAGTATATGTCACCATGTCTGGTGTTCTCTTGATTTTTGATGACAGCAAGTTTTGCAGATTCTGGGTGCCTGAAAGTCATCTTAAACTATATTTAAATTATAAAATATAATGTTTCTATCAAGAGATATTAAAACGAGGGCTAGAGAGATGGCTCTGCAGTTAAGTCTACATACTGCTCGCAACTGCCTGTAATGCCAGCTCCAAGGATATCTGATACCTCCAACCTCTGTGGGCCCTTGAACACACAGAGACACACACATACACATAATTAAAAATCAAAATAAAATCTTTTTTAAAGGAAATAGAATAGTGAGCAAAATACATAAATAAACTACAAGATAAAGTATATATTGAATCATCATAAATTACAAACTCTAGCCGGCTGTGGTGGTGAATGCCTTTAATCCCCACACCTGGGAAGCAGAGACAGGTGGATCTCTGTCTAGCCTGGTCTACATAGTGAGTTTGAGGCCAGCTGGGGCTACAGGGAGACCCTGTTTCAAAAACACACACACAAAAAAAGAAAAAAAATTACAAACACTAGCCCACTTGAAGCTAATAAGTAAATTACCTGTTTTGAAGGTCCTATTTCATGGTGATTTCTATTTTAATAATACAGTGATAATATTATTGAAAAGTTCACAAAATTCAGCTAAAATTTGAAAGAATTATTTATCCACAGAGCTTGAAAAATATTGAAGTATTTTGGGATTGAAAGACAGTTTTGTCCAATTTTCGGAGGGCTTAGTCTATGATATTCTAATTGCCTGAGTAAGGGGAACCCCATAATCTCTTCTGGTTTAGTTTTATTTAAAATTGTGATTTTTAAAGATTTCCTGTAAAAAGTTTTCAAGTTTTACACAAAACAGTAATCCTAAATGCTTAAATTCTTGTGTTTTGAAAATACCTAGTGAATACGGGTTAGAGTGGGAGAGAAATTAAAGGAACTGAACTTTGTCTTTCCTGAGATTGCAAAACAAGGTTTAGCACATATGAGGTGCATGTTCTTTATGCAACAGCCAACAGAAGCTGTGGGCATTGTGTTTGAAGAGCAGAGGTTCTATGTGTGTGTGTGTGTGTGTGTGTGTGTGTGTGTCCTGATCTTGTTTCTTTATTGTTTTCTTCATGAATGGTCTATTTTTCTCCTTAGATATAAGCTGTGGTGAGAATCTCTTTATGTCAAGTAACCCCAGGCCATGGTCCCAAGCAATTCAAATCTGGTATGATGAGTCCAGAGAGTTTATCTTTGATAGCGGGCCAACACCACCCAATGCAGCAGTTGGACATTATACTCAGGTAAGAAGAAATAACTCTCTTTGTAAGTGCTCAGAAAGGAAAACTCTTCAAATATTTTACTGATTCCAAAATGGAATCTGGGTTCAGAAAGTTTTTATTTTTATTTTTTAAAATATTTATTATTTTCATTGTATGTGTATGAATGTATTACCTGCATATATGTGAGTTCACCTATGTCATACCCGCAGAGGTCAGAAGAGGGTGTCGAATCCCCTGGAACTGGAGCTATGGACGTTTGTTAGCTGTCATGTGGGTGCTGGAAATCAAAATTGTATCCTCTACTGGAGCAGTCAGTGCTCCTAACCACTGAGCTATCTCTCCAGCCCCTTATTTTTTTTTGAAACAGGGTCTCACTATGTAACTCAGAATGGCCTTGAACGTACTATCTTCCTACACCAGTCTTCCAAGTGCTGGTATTGTAAGTTTGCACCAGCTGCCCATCCTGTGGAAAGATCGTGAGTGAATATAGACTAGTTTAGACAGCCCCGTCTGCACAGCCATCTTTCAATAGCCTGCCAGTTCTTTGTAAGGATATGAGCTTGTATTTTGGTTTGAGTTAGGCTTTTTGTTTGTTGATTGTTTTTTTGTTTGTTTGTTTTGTTTTGTTTTCTGCCCATAATTTATTGACTCCAATGCCCAAACTGAACACTTTTTGTTCCTTAAGGTTCCTAAGTTAGGCTATGACAGTGACTTACCTCAGCCCTGTCTGGGTCCTGCAGGGAGAGAGAGAACAGGTCTCTCCCAGAGTTTTGTTACCAGACCTCCAGCCAGATAGCTGCCCACTGGACAATGGGGACAGGACCCCTTCTTGTCAAATAAAGTGACTCTCCTGACGAGAACCCTGCGACCATGTCTCCTGGCATAGCGGGCTTATTCAAACCCTGGACAGAAGCTAAGGCATGGGAGGCCCTGCCTGGGTGGGTGGAAGGGAGATTCAGCTGGAAGAAGGAAAAGGCATAACTCTGCTTCACGGTGTGATCCTGTTGGCTGGAAAGCTTGAGCTACGACAGTTTCAAGAGGGAACCGGGAAGTCCAAGGTTCATGCCTCAGCACCCACCATCTACAGCTTCCAGGAAATGGGCACTGTTGCTGAGCTACCGTTTTCCACTGGGGCCCTGAACAGCAAGACCTGCCAGCCATCTCTTCTCTCTGCTCACCCAGAAAGAGATGCACGGGACCACCATTTATGATCCAACTACACAACCACTCCTCTGTGTCTGGGAGGGATACATCAAATCACACACCTACCTCTCCTCTGTTTTCTCATTCTTCCTCCAAGATAGGGGCTAGCGGAAAAGGCATGAGTGTACATACATGTAGGACAGCCCCCAGCAGCAACACCACCATGTTGACTGCACACCGGAAGTTGAACCGCTCCAAGCTGCACTCTTGTAAATTGTGGCCACGTGCCTTAAAAGCCCGAAGCAGGCTCAGCATCTGCAGACTATGTTGCTTTCGGGTCCTGTGGATTCCTTGATGTCCTCCATTTTTACATGAAGCATGTCTTTCCCACTAGGTATCAGCCCAGCCCTCTACCTCCTCATAGTATTGGATAAGCTGAAAGAACACCAGCTTCTCTGAGACAGTCCGGAAGGAGTTGTGAAAGCACAGCCTGTAGTTCTGGGGCTCCATAGACTCCACCCTGGGTTCCCCATCAGCCCGAGATTAGTTGACCCAAAGCACTCCCTTAGGGCTCTCGACGGAAAAGTTCAGCCCAGCAACTCCCATCACCTGGTAGTCAATCTTGAGAGTTGCACAGTAGGGGGACAACTGGTAGAAACACAGCTTCCTCCCCATGACAGCAGCAATGCAAACTCTCCTGTGAGGTGCTTCTGCTTCTCCTGCCCTTACAGGAGCAGTCACAGGGCCAAAGCTATGGTTTCAGTCCGGGTCACCCTCTGGTCTCCTCATACTTGGTGTTTTTCTGAAAGATGAACATACATGTTTTTAGTCTAATTCAACAGTTTAAGTATTTCCAGAAGGCTTATAGAAACACAAGTACATGGGGTAGTGTTTTCATTTTTATGTTTTCTACTATTTATTATTTGGTGTTTTCTTCCTCTCACATGTGATTCTCTCTCTCTCTCTCTCTCTCCATCTCTGGGTGTGTAGGTTGTTTGGAGCACATCGTTTCTTGCTGGCTGTGGAGTTGCTCACTGTCCTGAATCGTCTTTGGCATACTTTTATGTTTGTCATTATTGTCCTGCGTAAGTATAGCCTTTAGAGTTTACACTCAATAATTCCAAAAGCAATTTAATATTTATTTCATTAGCATTGAATACAAATTGATTAAAAACATATTTACACACGAAGAGGGAAATAATGTTTTTGAAGTGTTTTCTATAGTTGAGACTTCTGTAACCGAATTATTGAAAAGATCTATTTATCAGTTCCATAAATGATATTCTGGTTTCTCTTCCCTCTTAAGTGTTGTTTCTTAGACTCAGGATTACCCCATTGGGAACACATAGTGTAGGATTTTTAAGATTTGTGTTATCAGTTCTGACTAAATTTGCACATGAGAAAGAAAATGTTTAGCATTAGACCAGGAGTGAAAGTGATTGAATAATATAGGTTAGTGGTTCCAACCCTTCCAGCTAAAGTAACCCTACCCTGTTTATATAGGTTGCCATCTTACACATAGGATAAATTATTAAATCTTGGACTTCAAAGGTTTTTTAGAGCCCCTTCAGATATTTCAAATAGGTTAGCAAACTAACTTTAACTTTTTGTTTCTCAGAATTTACTATGAAAATAATCTCTGAAAAATCCATCCAGATCTTAATTTGAAATCCAGAAATTGATCACTCTTTTAAGAAATGTGTTTGAAAAACTGTGTAGACAAATACTTATTCATGGCACCTTTATTTACAAATGTCAAACACTGGGAAGAACAAAAATATCTACCATAAGGTGAATGCAAGAACTGTGGAACATCCACATAATGAAATATGACTTGGTAATATAAAGGCAATTGCATTTACATATAAACAATTGACTTTAAAACTTCAAGAGAGATTTTGGAGGTGATGAATGTTTTGCGTCTTGATTATGATATATAGAGTACAATAAACACCTTAAAACTGGGTGCAAATTATTGTTTATAAACTGTTTACTAATAAAGTTATTATACATAAAAAAGAAATATGTTTGCGCTACCAGAAAATTGTAAATATCATAAACATATATTCAAAATGTATTCATTTTAACTTATTTTTATCTTTTAAAAATATTTTTTAATTATATGGGGGGTGGTATGTACACATGAGTTCAAGTGCCTGTAGAGATCACTGATGTCAGATTCCCCTGGAGCTGGAGTTACAGGAAGCTATGAGCAGCTAGGAACCAAACTCAGGTCCTTTGCTAGAGTAGTCTCTGCTCTTAATGACTAAGCCATCTCTCCAACCCTATTTTATCTTTTTAATACATGAAACTTTTACAACTGGAGACCCAGAGCTTCATCAAAATAAGCCTCTTGAATGAATCATTCACAGGCTATAGATGGTGTCACATCTCCGCTGAAAAGTATAGCCCTTTAAGTCGTTTTCAAACATGCCTTTGCTGGTGTTTAGAAGAACATGTTGAAGAAACTTCGTGAGTCCATTCAGCTAGTCAACAGGGGGAGCATCTGGAATCTGGCTGCTGAGAGGAGAGTAGGACTCATAATGAAGGAAAGCAAGTCATAGTCATTGCTAAAATTCCTTCTGGAGAGGTATAAACAACATCTGCCCCCTTCTCCCTTGGTCCCAATGACAAATTGAGGTACAGTTTCACCAGACTTCAGTCTGGAAAACTAATGAGTTTATTGGGTTTACTTACAGAGCAATGAGTGAGGGTTTACTTACAGTGACGTAGGTGTCCCACACACACACACAAGGCTGCACTGGAGTATCTTCATCTAAATATGGATGGTGGCTTACTTACAGAGCAATGAGTGAGGGTTTACTTACAGTGACGTAGGTTTCCCCACACACACACAAGGCTGCACTGGAGTATCTTCATCTAAATATGGATGGTGGCTTCCCCACAGCTGCATAAAGTGGCAAGAGACCCTCCCCTAGGCTTCCTTAGCCTATATACCCTTAGCCCCCCTCCACAGACCACACACAACTGAGGCAGACTGGTTGGTTAGGAGGTATGGCTAACTCTCCCTGCCTCTCCTTTCTTGTGGCACTGTAACAGGCAACAAGCTTAACTGTGATGACCCTAGGCAAGCAGGTGTAACCAAGCTTGTGAAGATGGCTTCTGTTCATCTGTCTGTCAGAAGACAATCCAATGCAACACACACTTCTAGTTCTGCCCCACTTTTACAATGGCTCATACACATAGAGTTGTGTCCTGTGTGTACAGATGAGATTCTGCTGCAATGCCTTGGATACCTGTCCCACTTGCTGCATGGAGAATCTGAATTCTCTGTAGTTTCATGATAATAAACAGTAATTTTCCTCCTGAAGCACAGGCTAGGCGCCATCACACCTGTGCACTTCAGATGGTTGTTAAAAAACTTTTTCTACGTTAACATTCTCATTTCTGATAAACATAGACACCTCATACCCACATGTCACCTTCTGGCAACCCCTCACCTTGATAAGCACAGCTCTTTTTCATAAACGTATGCCTAAAATTCGTGAAACTCACCACCACTATCAAGTTCTGTTTTATACAATAGGAATTATGGAATTTTACCATGTCTAATTACAGAAGTCACTTCCGATATTAAATCTCATGGTCCTTTTATCCCCCTCCATCCTCTACTATATCCTCCTTTCTCTGCAGGGAGCAAGATTTACCCCTAACCAGTGTCCTGGACTGCAGTGTCTTAACAATTTGGCTAGATCTACTGGGAATTGAAGAGGGTGTTTCAATACTGAAATGTCTGTAAAGTTTAGTCTCTTTTAGTTGCTTAGGTTCTGAGATAATCGTTAAGGAAGAGATTGAATGGGCTAATGATTCTCTTATTTTACACTGGTATCTGAATCGTTTTAAAAAAATCTTAGGGTTTTTTGTTATTCCATAGTTTAAAGCTTTTAATAATTATTCATAGCTATTTAGTGGTATATGCTAACAGTATAAACAGACAAAAGTATTTGACATTTTACCTTTCAAATTTCAGTGGTAATTACGTGGGAAAACTATACAAGCCTTACAAAGAAGGAGAACCTTGTGCCAGCTGTCCTAATGACTGTGATGATGGGCTTTGCAGTAAGTTTTATTAACATGCTAACATAATAATGTAACGATACTCCCTTTAGAAATTACTAAGTGTTCTGAATGAACCTAACCCAAGAGATACCTCCTTGCAAAAGAACAAAAAAATGTAGCTGGAAGTTTCGTTAATGAATACTGAAAGATTCATTTACTTGTACATATACTAAATATTTAGAATATAATGCCAGGTGTGATTGCACATGCCTTTAATCCCAGCACTTGGGAGGCAGAGGCAGATGGGTACCTGTGAGATCGAGGCCAGCCTGGTCTACATGGCAAGTTCTAGGCCAGCTGGGGCTACAGAGAGAATCTGTCTCAAAAAGACTAAAAGAAAATAAAAGAATGTAACAAGAAGTTTCATTGATTTAGGAAAGTGGCAGTAGTGGGTTCTTCTCTAAGGTCTACAACCTCTCCAATCATGAGTATTTGGCTATGTTTACTATACCAGTCATGGATTCTTTCCTACTGAGCAGGCCTCAGATAATTGGTTACAACAAATACAAAAATGCCACTATTGCACCAGTAGATATATACTTTGCTTGGTGCTTGTTGTTGTGGTTAGTAGATTTTGCAGCTGGATAGGACTAGAGATTATACAAAACCAAAGTTCCACAACTGGTCAAAACACAAAGTATAAGCAACAGTGTGTTGTCTATGACAATGGAAACATCTACAATGTAATCTCTATAAGTAAGACCCAGGAAATATAGAAGAGGAAGGCAAGGAAAGGTTGTAAAAGACAGAGGACCATGACACCTACTCTAAATAGTATGTTCTAGATATGACAGTATGATTGTCTAAACAAGACCTGCATTATGACAACACTGATGAAATGCCAGTATGGATGGGAGAAATTTCACAAGGTCCCACCTCTGGATGAAGAGCTGAGGTGATCAATAACTGCTGGAGGAGAGACAATCGGTTTACTCCAAGTATCAGCTCCCTGCTGGGTTGTTCAATTGTCATGTGTCACTATTTCTAAGGTTGCGTGAACAAACATCTACTATCCCCAGATAGAGAACCAATGACAGAATGAAGCAAGGATAGCACTTGGAGAAAAAGTGAGGTTTGTGGGGGAGAGGGGGGAGGGAAGATTACTTTCAGGAGTATGTGTGACGGAGTATAGGTGAGGAACAGAAAGGACTGAAGTACAGCTGCATTACCAAAAGCCTATCCCAGCATGGATGACAGCTCATGGAAGTACAGCCTGGAGGCAGCTCAGCAGGTGGGAGAGCATCCTTTCTAGGTAGTTCAGTTGCTCAGAGTGTCTTCCAGGATGTTCCACTGGTCTCTGTTTCTTACAGCAGTTCAACTTGTCTGAGACTGTTTCTCAGCAGTTTGGGGGAGGGAAGGCCCTAGTGAACCTGGTCTATTTTAGAGACTTCCTGAAGCTTTTCAGTTGTTTACTTTTGAGCTTAACAAGTTTCTCTGTGAGGTGGAATTTTTCACCTCCTCTCAAAACATTGTGTTGTTTATCCAGCTTCCTTCCAAGACGGAAGATTTCTTTTTATATATATTTGGTTTATTATTTTTATATTATGTGTATAAGTATGTGTATTGCCTGCATGTGTGTAAGCGCACTGGCATAGTGCAATGCTCATGGAGGTCAAAGGAAGGTGTCAGATCCCTTGAAACTGGAGTTACAGATGGTTGTTAGCTGCCATGTGGGTGCTGGGATTTAAACTGGGGTCCTCTGCAAAAGCATCCAGTGCTCTTAACCACTAAACCATCTCTCTCCCCATGCCAAGTTGGAAGGTTTTATCTCAGAGGAAATTAATATACAACACCAACCCCAAGTGGCCAACACATCAGGAAGGTGTCAGATCCCTTGAAACTGGAGTTACAGATGGTTGTTAGTTGCCATGTGGGTGCTGGGATTTAAACTGGGGTCCTCTGCAAAAGCATCCAGTGCTCTTAACCACTAAACCATCTCTCTCCCCATGCCAAGTTGGAAGGTTTTATCTCAGAGGAAATTAATATACAACACCAACCCCAAGTGGCCAACACATGTATACATGAGTACCACTAAGTGGACTCAGTACACAGACATAGTGTGTGTGTGTGTGTGTGTGTGTGTGTGTGTGTGTAAGAATGTATATGTAACAATAATAATCAAAGAAGAGGCCATGAGGTTGAGAGGGAGATATAGGAGAGATCAGAGTGGAGAGAGGGTAGGAAGGGAGTGATAGAAACACAGTGCTATGTGTGAAATTATCACAAATAAAAACATTTTAAAAATTACAGAATTTTTGAAATGCAAATTTTATGTTGTTCATGTTCTGTAGTATTGGCAATGAAGGACATCACCTTATGTAATCTAAAGAAATGTCTAAAACTCAGTGCACACTGGTGACTCTACTGACCCTATTATTATTGAAATCTACCAAAAAGTCTCTGTATTTAGAATTCACTACAATTAAATGTGATGTTTCTTATTTTCAAGGTTAATAATCTATTTAAATTGGCAATTTTTTAAAAAAGAGAATGCAAACACAAGTTTAAGAATTTGAGATAACAGATCATAGATTCTATTATCCACACCAAATATTAAAATTCTTTACATACCAATGAGTTTATCACAGTAAATTCATGAGCTTCTCCAGATTGCCATTCTTTATGCATATATATACTTATTTATTTCTTTAAATTTATTTTTTATTTATTTATTTATTTATTTATTTATTTATTTATTTATTCCTGTGTATGTGTATGCTGGAGCATACACGGATGCCTGGGTGTATATGTGGATATCAAAGACAACTTGGAGGAGCTGGTCCTCTCCTTCCACCGTTGTGGGTATCAGGGATTGAGCCGATACCCAGGTGCTTTATGGCAAGCACATTTACCCTCTGAGCCACTTGGATTATTAACTTTACTTATCACTTACATGACAGTTTGCTAATAACTTTGCATACAATTTTGGAGCCAAAATAAAATTTATACATAGTATTAGTTCACAGAAAATTTAAATATATTTTATTTATTACGGTTATTTTATGAATATGAATGTATTGCCCGTATGTATGTGAGTGCACCCAAGTTGTGCAGTGCAGCTAAAGTTAGAAGAGGGTGTCAGATTCCCCTGAAACTGGAGTTAAAGACGGTTCATAGCTGCCATGCTGGGAATAGAACCCGGGTCCTCTGCAAGAGCAGTTAGTGCTCTTAAACCACTGAGCCATCTCTCCAGCCCCTGAAACTATTATTTAATTACAGAAAAGGAGTAAGATAAATACCACAGTATTTCATTCTTGACATTATTATGAATGCAAATACAAAAGATGAATAAGGGCTGAGTGTGCTGCCCCACACCTCTAACACCAGTATTCTGGAGAGAATGGAAGGAAGATCAGGACTTAAACTCAGATTGGAATGACTATCAAGCTACAGGTCAGCCTAAGTCACACAAGGAGACTGTAGCAACAAAAATGTATTGTTAAAATGCATATGCTATCAAAACTCATATGAACAATACTGCTGTCAATTCTCTGGGGGTTTTATGCATCTCCTCAGTGAACTATAGCATTCTTTCTGATGGATTTGTATCACTGAAATTCAAAATACTGATGACATAAAAGTTATAAAGAAGAAAAAGCCAAACACTCACATCTGCTGAATGTGTTTGTAAAGAAATCTACTGGTAACAGGCATCCAGTTGAAAGATTTTAAACAGAAGTAGCAAGGTAGGTTAAAAACCATTGTTTTAGTTTTTTGGTTTTTTGTTCATTTGTTTGTTTGTTTTTCTTTTTGAGACTGAGTCTCCTTGTAGTCCCAGCTGCCCTGGAACTCACTATGTTAACTAGGCTTCCCTCAAACTCACAGAGATCCTCCCAGCTCTGCCTCCTGAATGCTGGGATTAAAGGTGTATACCGCCATACCTAGCTCATTGTTTTAGTTTTTGACAGTTGTTTTGTAGATGTAATAGTTTATTTTATATAACACATACATAATGACTACCTTTTATAATGCATTTTTAATTTTTTTTATTTTAAATATTTTATTTATTATTTTTATTCTATGTGTATGAGTGTTGCTGCCTGCGTGTATGTAAGTGCAAGACTACCTTTTCAAATACTGAAGTTCTTTTTTTTTAAGCTTTGGTTATTTTTACTTTATGGGTATGAATGTTTCCTTACATCTACACATGTACAACATGTATGTGCCTGGTGCCTATGAAGGTCAGTAGAGGGTGTTGGCTCCACTGGAACTGGAGTTACAGATGGTTGTCAACTGCCATGTGGTTGCTGGGATCTGAACATGGGTCCTCTGTAAGAACAGCCAGTACTCTTAAACACTGAGTCATCTCTCCAGCCCCTAAATAGTACAGTTCTACAGAGAATCACTCATGTGAATTTTCTCACTTTTTCTGAGTGTGGAAATAGGTCAATTCATCTTTAAAGACATTTCAAAAGTTCCAACTTAACAAGAAGCAAGGAATTAATCATTGACTTTTAGATACAGAATCTGTCCCTCAAGACATAGAATAGTCATCCTACTGTAATGATAACCATGCCTGCTCAGTTCCCCTCTCCACATTCACACTGATTTTGTTGTCACTGTTATGGATGAAAACAATAATGAAGTAATGGGCTTCTTTGTCTTTTTCTTTTAATTTCAGCCAATAGTTGTAACTATGAAGATAGTTATTCTAACTGTCCAGATTTGAAGGAAACAGCAACCTGTGAGCATCCAATCGTCAAAAGTGGTTGCAAGGCCTCCTGCAATTGTGAAGGCAAAATTTATTAAATACTCAGTACACGCCAACAGGTTTCTGTGGAGAAAGACCAAATCGTCCACCCACTTAAGTTTGTTGTACTTTACCAGGAAATTACAGACATAGATATACACAAATGATTCCAAATAGTAAAGAATCATTTCTTCTATATCTTTCCATTTTTCCAAAATCATTTCCATATAAAGGATTAAAAAAACAAAATCAATGATAGCAATTCTGTTCTTGATATTGGAATTTTGTAACTAATTTACTGAATTTAATCAAGCTCAAAGTTCTGCAAGTTGCTTTTCCCTATGATTAATGTCCTTAAAATCCCTAGTTCGAACATAAGAAACATGTTCCCAGATCACAATGAAGTAAAAGAATAGGATAAAATTCCCCTGTTGTTGCCAGTCATCTGTCCTAACTCCACCAGGTTCCAAAGACATTGACTATCTTTGATATTTTCTCGCCATTAACTCTTCCTCACACTTATCTGAATCTCCACCTTACAATTAAGTGGAATGCAGTATTCCCAGTATAACCCAAAATCATCCAAGACCTGACTCTACATCCACATAATCTTCACAGTAGATTATCATCATATCTTCCTTTGTAAACATCCCCATCTTTAAATAAATCTTCTTTGTAAAATTTCAAGATAATACGTGAATAGATTCCCTTGAGTAGTTAGAACTCTATCTTCCCTTTTGAATCTGCACTGGAGTTAGTGGATCCCTTTCAAAGACTAGACAGTAGTCTACGAAAGAGGAAATCAATTACTTTACAGTAGAGAAGTCTAGCAACTGCGATCTTAACTCAGTGATTAAACTTCTAATTTCTAATCAAGATTCTAATTGCTTTTCAAACACTTTATTAAGATGTGACTTCTGCTTGTTCAGTGTGATTACAATGACAGTATGGTCTCTTTAGAAAAAAATGAAATAAATTTTGTTTGAAATAAAATTTGTTTGAACTGATGATCTTTTTGTTTACTTTTCCAATATAATATTTTAGGATTTAGGATGTCTGATTAACTAAGTTTCATTTACATTAAAGTTCCCAGTCCCCACAATATGAGTTTGTCTTGTTCAGTGCACACCTCAATTGATAGTTTATATCAGAAGTCTAGGAATTGAGGATGGATAATAATAATAAAGCAATTACTTATTTCTGATTTGGGGAACATAGCCATTTCATTTTGTCCATATTTGTACATGTCCTTTGTATCTTCTAAAATAATCTATTAGAAAAATAAAATGGGGCCTGGGGAGATGGCTTAGTGGGTACGAGTGCTTCTTACATAAGCATGAGGACCTGAGTTCAAATTCCTAGCACCTATGTAAAACATTCTGGATATGAATAACTCCAGTTCTGTGAGGGGTGAAAACAGGATGATCTCTGGGGGTTGCTGCCTGCCAGTCTGTGAGTGACCCCATCTCAAAGGAATAAGGTAGAGATGATGGAGCAAAACACCCATTATCATCCACTCATCTCCACAGCCACACACAGGCATACTTACCTCCCCTCTGCACACACACACATGCACAAACACATGTACATACACCACATAAACTACACACACACACACGCACGCACATATAGAAAATGATGATAGTAATTCTTCAGTTCACGCCTTTAATCCCAGCACTTGGGACTCAGCGGCAGGAGGATGACTTTGTGAGTTCAAGGCCAGCCTGTTCCACATAGTGAGTTCCAGGACAGCTGGGGCTACAAGGAGACCCTGTCTCAAAAAGGCAAAAAAAAAAATTCTTCCTTAAAATTTACATGAGAACTGTTAGCAGTTGAACAGATGGAGACGAAAATAGGATAAAATGCAAAGAAGTACACTTAAAATAAGGCTAATGTGTACAATAATGTTACAGTATCAATTATATTTATTTTTTCAAATACTAGAGTGGGTATTTATGC